TGCCTGGAAGTTTTATGAAATGCTGCAAGTGTAAGTCTTAGGCTATAAAGGTCAAAGAAGTAAAGGTGAGAGTGGCCATATTTTGACAGTATCAACATTGAGAGAATGTATTTAGGCACAGTTTTGCTCTCTATAATTCTCTGGAAAATTTTGTGTTATAAAGGAAGATGAGTTTCTAGATCACATTCTTGGCCGTGCTTCCCTGATGAAACAGAAGAGTGACTCACCAGGTGGACAGAGAGTCTCTCAATGCATTTGGTGCGCAGTTACAATTCATGAAGAGAACTATTTCATTCCTCTGGCCAAAAGGGGCAAGCAGGCCTGGAATTCTGAAGATAGCTGGTCATACATGCCCGATGGAGACCATGCCTTGTGGTGCTAGCGTGTATGTATGGTACATCCATAGTACATGTATGATACATATATGACATAAGAAATGGGCTTATTTGTACAATTGTGTGTGTCTGATGCTCCATGTAGCAGGGGTGGATTATCCTGCCTTCAGACAAATGCCCAATTCAGAGGAAAACCCAAGTGTGAGGCACAAGTATGGCCACTTCCCCAGAATCCCCTGCTTTAAGGGGTATTCCACAAACCTCTGCCATAGGGGTGTGTGTGTGTGTGTGTGTGTGTGTGTGTGTGCTGAGAGAAGGAGACTCTTTCTGAAATTTTGGAGTTCAGGGTCCGAAGTTCATGGGCTTCCTTATATACTGGTAACAGATTAAAATCCAGTTTTTCAAGTTTATAATTCTACATATTTGATACTGGCTTTTGTTGAAAGATTCCACAATCTCAGCATGTGAGAAATGGAAGACTTAATACTAAAGCTCACCCAGGCCCCCACTGCACAGAGGAAGAAGAATCGAGGCTCTGGGTGAGGGTGGCTGAGGAACATGGAGGAGGAATTGAGGCTCTGAGGGAGGGTGGTTGAGGAACATGGAGGAGGAATCAGGGCTCTGAGGGAGGGTGGCTGAGGAACACAGTAGAAGAATAAAGGCTCTAGGGGAGGGTGGCTGAGGAACATGAAGGAGGAATTGAGGCTTTGGGGGAGGGTGACTGAGGAACATGAAGGAGGAATTGAGGCTCTGGGGGAGGGTGACTGAGGAACATGAAGGAGGAATTGAGGCTCTGGGGGAGGGTGGCTGAGGAACATGGAGGAGGAATCAAGGCTCTGAGGGAGGGTGGCTGAAGAACATGGGAAAGGAATCAGGGCTCTGAGGGAGGGTGGCTGAGGAACATAGAAGAATCGAGGCTCTTGGGGAGGTTGCCTGAGGAACATGGATGAGAAATCGAGGCTCTGAGGGACGGTGGCTGAGGAACATAGAAGAATCAAGGCACTGGGGGAGGGTGGCTGAGGAACATGGTAGAAGAATCGAGGCTCTGGGGGAGGGTGGCTGAGGAACATAGAAGAATCGAGGCTCTTGGGGAGGTTGCCTGAGGAACATGGATGAGAAATTGAGGCTCTGAGGGAGGGTGGCTGAGGAACATAGAAGAATCAAGGCACTGGGGGAGGGTGGTTGAGGAACATGGTAGAAGAATCGAGGCTCTGGGGGAGGGTGACTAAGGAACATGGAGGAGAAATCAAGGCTCTGAGGGAGCGTGGCTGAGGAACATGGAGGAGGAATGGAGGCTCTGAAGGAGGGTGGCTGAGGAACATGGAGAAGGAATCAGGGCTCTGAGGGAGGGTGGCTGAGGAACAGGTCCGAGGTCACACAGCCAGTCAGAGGCATTTGGACTATAACTTGGGTCTCTGTTTCACTTACTGTAGAAATTTCCCCTTTGCACAGATGAAGACATTTAGACATGGAGGACAGTTTTTTTGTAAGATCTTCTGCTTGACAAGGACAAAATCGAACCAGCTCCAGACTCTGGAACTTCCTGCCATGATCACTTTCTAAAAATCCCAAGCTTGTTTCCTCCCCACTCTGTTAGATTTCATACCTTGCATACCAATACATATCAGAAAAGTGAAGCCCAGCTTGGCTTTTCGTTTTCATCGATTCAAGAGTCTTTTCCTGTGTCACCAACAAGGGGGCTGCCCTGAACCAGCCAGAGCCAGAAGGACAAATGAGGATGCCTTCAATACTACCCCCTCCTCAAATGTTACCAGCAGAGAGGGACTTGTACTGCCACCATCTGGCCTTTGTAGGTGTCCCAGACACGGCAAGTATGTGGTGAGAGGGAAGGAAACAGCACAAATTGTCTACTTTACCATTCTCTTAAAATAAGCTTCATGTGAGCAAGCTTTTCAGAGCAGCAGGACTAGGGCTGCGAAAAATAGAGTGTGGTGCAGCTGCACCCTTTAGAACTTTGGGGGAAAACACATATTATTTACCAGACAATAATAGATACCAGAGAATAATAATGATTATTATAGTGTTTGGGATGGCAAATGCTGTAGTTAAGGTTCCAGAATGGCTCTTATTATAAATCCCGTTTTCCCGAGTCTCTTGTGAAAGCCTGGAAATTTTCTTTAAGTAGGCTGATGCTGTCCATGTTTGGTCTTTGTCCAAAGGTGATTTAAATATAAAGAAACTTACTGGAGAAATATTCCTTTTTTAAAATAGTGGATGCATTAAAGAAAAAAACTACATTATTAAAAAAAGCAGTTGCAGCATTCTTAAGTAAGCAATTCAAAATGGTGGTGTTTCCCAGTTACTGGAGGAAAATGTTAAACACTCTCCCTTCTCCCTTTTAAAGAAAGAATTTGGAGGCCCCCTCTAACTACAAGATTCAGTCACTCTTGGTTCCAGGCCCAGAGGTGGGGATGGCTTCCCTCCCTCCACAGCAACTTCCAGGCTGTGCTTGCTAAATGCAAAAGAACTGTCCCCAGAAGAAGTGACCCCGGTGTCTTTGGATCCACTTGTCATCTCTGCAGCTTCTCAGTTTTTTGTGGCCTCACATTTGATGGTGGATCTTGGTGCTTTTGTTTTTGTATCCCTTCTCTCCATTGTCACTTATTTGAAAGAAAGAAAGAGAGAGAGACAGAGAGAAAGAAAGACAGTCAAATGTGAACTCTTTATTCAGAGATAAATATCCACATTTCCAAATCTGACCGTGCCAAATGAAAAGGTTTCCATGGCCTTGTAATTCCACCCCCATTACATATTTGTGGTGTTTTGCATTTTCACTTTGGTTATTTAATATACATATTAAGTACACACAGATCTGGTGATTTAATGTGATTGGGGGAACTCAGGCATTTCCTGTCGTGCACAGTGAAACTTTCAAACCTTGTTTTTGGCTGCTGCTGATTATTGTTGCCATTAACACCAGGATTTGGATAGCAGGGTTCAAAGCACAAGCTTCCACTTAGTCCTCCCAATGGGCATTTGACCTCCTCTTGCTCTTGCTAAATTCATGTTGCAAACACTCCAAGCAAGCTTCCAGGTCGCTTTGTGGCTCCATTTCTTCACTATAAAATGAGGAAATGGTACTGTATTATCTCTGGGGTCCCTTCAAGTCCTACATTCTGTCACCTCTCTGGAGTTATTTGTTCGTTGTTCTAAGAATAATCTCAACAGTTGTATAGACGTTTACAAGTCCTCTGTCACCACCGCACCTTAGCCAAATTTTACCCATTCACATTTCTGACGGCCTCATTTATTGGCAGGAAGAAAAGGTGCTGTTTTAGGGCATGGCAGAAGAGAGCCGCCTGACCCACTCACGTGATCAAAGTGTGTCGCGCGCCCACAGCGGGCCAGACTCTGAGCTAGGAGTTGGGTGTAGAGACACAAGCAAAACAGACAAGCCCCTGACCTCTGGGGCTTTACCGTGCAGTTGGCAGACTTCTAAGTGGCTGCTCCCGGGAGTGACTGAGTGGCCTCAGGAAGCTGTATTTCAAACCAAGCGACTGGCAGCAAATGAAAGAAGTCTGCAGGGATAAAGAGGCAGAGCCTCATGTCTTGGTGAATGTTGGGATGAGCCTTCCCCAGAAACTAACTTTCCTGGTGGAAAATCCTGTTCAGAGCCTCTGCCCTGGGACCCCGAGGCTCTTGGTTGGTTTATTTTCTTCCAGTCCAGTGCTACTGTTTGTTTTGGACGTGAAGACATGTGAATGGCTCACCTTTTACAGGCAAGACCCACACACGGAGAAAAGCAGGCATTTCTTCCAGCTTAGTTGCCTTTGTGGGAAACTTCTGAAGATAGGTATATGTGTCCATGGTAATTTTCCACTTGCCAAAAAGTGAATCTGTTGGCCCTCTTTTCAGCAAATACCAGAGCTGCGACATAGGGTTACAGGAGTGAGGTCTGGAGCTCCAGGGTCCCCCGTGACCTTACCTGGCTTTGGAGTGACCTTGGGTGACTCAAAAGACCTCCTGCTGGGGCTGGGCACAGTGGTTCACGCCTGTAATCCCAGCACTTTGGGAGCCCAAGGTGGGTGGATCACTTGAGGCTGGGAGTTCAAGACCAGGCCTGGCCAACATGGTGAAATCCTGTTCTCTACTAAAAATACAAAAATTAGCTGGACATGGTGGTGCACACCTGTAATCCCAGCTACTTGGGAGGCTGAGGCAGGAGAATCCCTTGAAACTGGGAGGCAGAGATTGCAGTGAGCCAGTTGTGCCACTGCACTCCAGCTTGGGCGACAGAGCGAGACCCTGTCTCAAAAAAAAAAAAGAAAAAAGAAAAGTAAAGACAAAAAAAGCCTCCTGCTGGTTAAGCATGCAGTCATGTGGAGGGGGAAGGGTTGCTGGGTTGCAAAGGATGCTGTGGTCTTTGGATGAGGGCGTGGTACACCCTGCTCATTATGGTATTCCAAAAAGCGACTTGAGTTTCATTTCCTCACACAAAGCTGGCAGGGCTGACCTGAGCAGACCGTGAATGAAACTCCTGTTGAAATCACGCTGTGCTGCAGCGGTTCTGGGGCTCATCCTAGGTCTGCCCTGGCGGCTGGAGAGTGCGGTGCTGTCTGACTCATGCCTGGGTTCTCCCCAGCTGGGTGGAGGGAGGGGGATCGGTCCAGCGGATTCTGACAGCCCCTTCTGCTCTTTTTCCAGGAATGCTCACTCACAGGGTACGCTCATGGAGAGAGGGCGCAGAGCAAACCATGTCACGCCATCCAATGACACCAGCTGGTCAGCTCACCACCCCCTCTGGCTAAAACTCAAGCAAATAAAGCCGCTTCCTGTCATTAAGCATCTCAGAGGAAGCAGCCCTCCCTCGATGGCCTCTAGCCCAGAGAAGCCCGCGCGTCTTGGACCCACCAAGCAGGCCCAGCCTTCCTGCTGCCACCATCTCTGCTTCTCCCCAGAGGAACTTAGGGATTTCACCCCTGGCTTTTAAAAAAAATGAAATACCAACAAGCCACAAGGACCAATGTAGGTATTCTCCCCGCCCCGTCTTCAAGGCTCAGCGGCTGAGGCTGGAAGATGATATGGATTGGAACACAAAAAATCTTTTTTTAATCTTTTTAAAAACTGCTGTGGTTTTGCTGCTACACTAAGAATTGTGATTTGCATTGTATGGTTTTGGACCTATACTGTTCACGTTTTGATGGCGGAGAGGGGTGGTCCTGGAGGCCCAACGCTTCAGAGTCATCTCTGTCCTGCCCGGGATGCACTTTTAAATGAAGAGTTAGAATATTTTATTGGCTAATATACTTTTCTTGTTATTTTTACAAAGG